GAAGATGGGGATGATGGGGACCCACCTAGTCTGGGGCTGGGATGCTGCCGGGCACCCCCTGCGCCCTGCCTTCACACCTGTCTCCTGGGGCCCACGTGAGCCCAGTGACACCTGAGCTTCAGAACCCTGGAAGCCTCCTAGGTGGAACCTAACCTGGCCTCTGCTGGAAGCCACCCCTCCCCCGCCCCCATCTGTCCCCAAGATTCCTGTCTACTCTCCCATGGTGGGGAAAGAAGGGCTGCTGGGGCCGTCAGCAACTCTTCTTACTATAATTTCAGGGCTCATTGGTGCTCGGTAATTAAAGGGCCATAGGAGAACTCATCGCCCCTAACTCAGCATTAGGGCCTGAAATGGGCCTCAGCAGCTCCACCAGGGACAGTCCCCACTGCACAGAGAAGAACCAGGCTCCCGGACAAGTGTTAGGGGACCCACCAAGCCAAGGGGCTGTGCGTGCACTTCTCCCGGGCTGTGAGTGACTCAGCCACCATGAGACAAGACCTCCTTCTGTGCTGAGCCTGTGTCCCCCACATACCCGTTAGCCTGCAGGCCTTCAGCGGACTCCCATCTCGGTAGATGAAACTCCATCCCTCCCACTGCCCCAGCCCAAACTTGGGCGTCCCTGACTGCTTTCCTCCCCTGCTTCACGTCCAAACTTCAGGAAACCCTGCTGCCCACCCACTCGGCTCTGATCTCCAGCAAGTTTGCCTAGATTCTCCCAGCAGCTCGGCCTCCGCTCAGCCCGCCCCCAAACTTATTTCAACTCACAGCAGCCAAACAATCTTTCTAGACCTTCCAGACCTTTCTTCCCAACCTTTCCTTCGTTGTCACTCCACACACCTAAGGGGTCTTTCACACACGTTTCCTGATTTGCCACCAGAAACACGATGCCTGCATCTGTCTGGGTCCCGGGTGCACACCTGCGCCGCACACACACATTGGTGAACAATGCGAGTGACCACCCGGAGCCGATCTGGCCGGCCCACGCCAACGCCCATGGCCTTGAGCTTGGCGTTGAGCTCTTCACCCAGACGGCCGCCTACAGCCTCTGCCGGCCCAGCCTTCAGTGTCATTCCAGGCCAGTGCCTTTTCCGAGGCCGAACACGGGCGTTATTTAAAAGGGGGAGGGACACAAGTGGGTCCTCACGGCAACTCAATTAATCCTCCATCGGAAATTCTAACACAATCAATTTGGGGAGCAGGCCGACATCATAACACAGTAATTAGGAACAACTTTCAACTCTCGGCTTCCTTTGAAGATTGTAATTGCAATTAATTAAACATCCTCGCTGCTCCTCAGAGTCTGTTCCAGAGGAAAGTGGAGCAGAGACGGGGGTGGGGGGGTTGCCCCGACCCCTGTTCTCAGCAGCCCAGGAATCTAACAGGGAATATAGATGCCCCTCTCTCCCTGGGAAAGCCTGTGGAGATTGTGAGGGAGAGGACCCAGCCTTGGGGCTCTGAACCAATGCCCGGGGATCCCGACCTCTCCCCCCAGAGCACCCAGAATGGAAGGTGGGCCCCAGGCTCTGCAGGAGACACAGCCGCAGGCAGCCTCAGCCCCAGGGGCAGCAGTAGGCCCCTGGACAGCAGAGGGGCGGCCACCCTGGCTTAACACAAGGGGACGAGGGATGGACGGTGGGAGAGTGGACAGTCACGGTGGAAACACGGTCCTCTCCCTGTCAGGCTCTCACCGTGGGCCAGGCAGGGCCCAGGGACCTGACCGACGAGACCCACATCCTCCCACAGCCCGGGAGGAGGCCCCACGACCCAAGGCCCCAGAAGGAGCGCTGGCCAAGGGCTGCCGAGTCAGGAGAGGATGGACAGTATTCCCACAAGGTCTGTGCTCCCCAAAGCCTGGCTGTAGCCGCTGCTGCCCCAGCAAGTACCAGTGCCCAACATCACAGGGGTAGGCCCCTGATACCAGAGCCACATAGTCCAGCCCGCACCACCCAGCTGGATTCTCAGGTGGCAGATCTTACGGCAACTCAGTGGGAGGAAGGTGGGGTGAAGTGTCGCCCCCTGGATCCAGGCATTTCCTTCCAATTTACAAAAATGATTCCAAGTGTCATTCTTGTAATTCTAGCCCCAGTTCCTAAGACTCAAAAGCCAGCCAAATGAGGAAGACAATGAAGCCAGACATGAGAGGCACATTGCCCCCGAGGATCATGCCTAAGGAAAGCTAGGGCAATTGGGCACAAATGTGCTCTGAGCATCCCAGCAGCCAGAGCAAAAAGGGCAAAGTGAGGGCTCCATGGCACCCCCTGTGGGATGGAGAGAGGCAGAAGAAGCTGAGTCCCACCAGCAACTGCCCACACTCTCACTGAAGGGACAGCGGGCAAGGTGTTGTCCTCATGTCCTCCCAACCCCCGATCCCCGAGCTTCTTCATGTGGGCAGTGTCTTTCCTCCCTGAACACTCAGCCCCAACATTGGAGCCAGCACCGAGCTGGTGCTCAAAAAACGAATTAGACTTTCAACCCTGCTTTACACTAAAGGGTAGAAGTTCATTTTTCTGACCATGCTTCTCCATGGGACCAACATATCTAACTGGAAGAGGAAATGTGTGGTTTGGCAGGAAATGTCAGCCCTGGGGCCAAATCCTAGGGCTCACATCTCCTGGCTAAGCTGGACATGGTGGCCATTCCATTCTATCAGCCCTTCCATTCTACCTTACCCCAAGGCTCACAGTTCTCCAAGCCTTATTCTTACAGTCCAATCAAGGGAACCCCACACCCTGGCTACGGGCATTGATTCAGGTAACACAGCCCTAAGCCAGTTAATGCATGTTACTGACTGAATCAAATCTTGCATCCTGGATCAAACCTTACCTGAAACTCAGTTTATTTCTAGATCTTCCAGTTATATAAACCGTTTTTGAACCTTTTGTAGTTTAAGCCTGTTGGAGCCTGGCCATGGTTTTAACGCAGAGTTCTAATAACACACGGGCAAGCCCCATCCCCTCTCTAGGTCTCCGTGTCCTCAACTGTCTGCCAACCCCATGGAAGTACAATGAGGATGAAATGTGGGTGTGATTGTGGAAGGCTTTGGAACTGAGAACCCCACACACCTGTGAAAAGAATGGCTCTTGGTCGGTCCCTGCAGCTCCCTTCCTGTGCACTGGGCCCTGGCCCCGCAGCCCCTGCCTCCAGCCCTTGGACAGCTGAAGCTCTGTTATCTCCCAGCCTTTGCCCGCGCCCTCCCCTCTGCCTGGAGCACCCTCCCCCAGCAGGCATGTGACTGCCTCCTCCCATTCTTCCAATCTCAGTATAAATGCCACCTCCTCCAAGAAACCCTTCCTGACCATCCTGTGTGAAATATGCTCTGTCCCTACTCATTTTCTTCCTAGCACTTATTGCCATGTTTTACTTTTTAATTTTAATCATGTCAGTGTCTTTATTAGGTTACTCATCTGGGGTCTTTGTGCCCTAGGTTAATGCCTCTGAAACTAGTGGTGGTGAAGGACGAGCGTTTTCATTTCCAGTCTGTCCCTAATACTTTAACAAACTATATTAAAAATACATTTCTAGAACATGTTTTACTTAAATACTAAACAGAAGCCCCAAATTTTTGTTGTTACTCTCTGCAGTCATAAAATTACTCTGCCAACTTGTTTCAAGAGTTTTTAAATGGTGACTCCATTTCTGCCGTTTTGGGAGAGGTGCAAGCTCAGTTCCCACAGGGCAAGCCAAGCCGTCAGAGTAACGACCCCAGGAGGTAGTGATAAACCCCTGGCTTCCTTGCCCCTGGAGTGGGGCATGCGTCAGCTCTGGGGGGATCCCCAAAGGGCTTCCTTCCCTTCTCTGTCACTTCCCTGCTCCCCCACCTGTGTGTCACCTCGCAAATAAAGTGCACTCGAATCCATGTTTAGGGACCACTTCTGGGTGGACCTAAACAATTAATACACAACATAGGACGTACAATACCTAATGTTATTACTGCTGTAGCCCTACTGTGAGCCAAATGCATACACATTATAAAGTAACTGTTGTGCATCTCAGTAAAATGGAAAAGACAAAGTCCACGGGTGGAAGGAGCGTGGAGTCCTGCGGGGATCTAAGGGAACCACTAGTGGGAGAGGAGGAAGCTGGAGACCCCTCTTGCAGAGCCCAGAAACCTCCTTCTCTTCCAGAGGTGAGCACTTCCTATCACTGGTTCTCCAGCAAGCCAAGCAAGGCTCTGGAAAAACCATTTCTGCCCACGACTGGGAAGCTATAAATAACTCCCGGATCAGAAGAAAGGAAAAAAGAACTCTGATTCCATCTGCACTGGAGTGAGAATGCACCCTCCCAGCGCGCCGGCCTCCCCTGCACACCTGGAGTCCAACCCCACCGCCCCCCCAAGAAGAAACCTCAGCCTTTGGTCCCCAGGTTTGCGGAGGAAGCCGCCAGCCGGCCCACAGTAGACAGACCTGTCGCGGCGGAGGAGGCTGGCTCACCCGTGGTTGTTCCGGGCTCACAAGAGGCATTGGGGGACACAGTAGGAGGCACCCCTTCTCCCCAGAGCCAACAGGGAGGGCGGCAGGGGAGCAGCCGTTCTGGGGACTGCGCCATGTGGCCTTCCTGCCTTAGCGGGCCCCGTCCCTGCCATGTCCTCTCACCCACCCACCCTGCACTCTCCACTCCTCATATCCCTTTCTGCCCTGCACCTACTGCCCTTCCCTCTGCCTCTCCAGCTCCCCAGACCCCAAAGCCCCTGTGTCTTGGAAAAAGGAAAAACCACTGAACTGGAAGTTGGGTATACAGACAGATGGCAGATGTTCCTTGGAGGAACCAGGACCTCGGTGTCCCGACCTGCGGGATGGGCGCGACACTCCCCACCACGGGGCTGGGGCCAGCATCCCAGAGCGCAGGCTCTGCGGGTGGACGCCGGGCCGCCGCCGCCCCCATCCAGGGTCGGGTCCTCGGACAGCCTGCCCCGGTCGCCACGCGGACTTCACTCGCCGCTCGCTGTCCGCTGCAGACCCACGTGGATCCCCGGCAGCGCCGGTGAACAGGCCGGCCCCGGGTCAGCCCCTTGTCGCGCCCGCGCCGCCTGTCCGGGGGCGTCCAGCAAAGAGCCTGGCGGGCGGAGCAGAGCGACTCTTTATTGGCCGCGTCGGGCGCGGGCTAGCCCAGCCTCGGGGCGCCGCCGGCGGTGGCGGCCTCGGGCCCCGCGGGCCCCGGGAAGGCGGCGCCGCAGCCGGGCCCGGGCGCCAGCAGCAGCAGGCCGGGCCGGGGCGCCCCCGCGCCGGCGTAGCTCAGGGCCAGGCGCTCCAGGCGCCGCTTGCGCGCCGCCGCCTGGGCCGTGGCGTGAAGGGGCCGCAGCAGCGCGGGGGGCGGCGCGCCCGGGCCGCGCAGCAGGAAGTCGAAGCCCGCGCGGTCGCGCGGGTCGTAAAAGAGCGGCCCGCGGGCGGGGTCGGGCCCTGGCGGCCAGGCGAACGGAAAGGGCAGCGTGAAGTCCTCGGTGAGCACGCGGATGGCGAAGTCGTCCTCCTTGCCCAGCGCGCGGTAGGCGCGCCCGATGCCGCGGAAGTGCGCCGCCCAGAGCTGCGCGTCCCCGCCGTAGATGTCCGGGAACGGGGGCTCCGGGGCCGGGGGCGCGGCGGGACCTGCCGGGCCCACGGCCCCGGGAGTGACAGAGGGCAAGTGACCACGTGCGGGCGGTGCCGCCGGCCGGCGGGGGGCGGGGGGCGAGGAGGGAGTGAGGGAGCCTGAGAACCTGCCTCGGGGCTGGCCCTGGAAGGCGGAGGTGGGGCCCCGGGGCTGACAGGGGAGGCGGGAGGCGGATGCCGAGGGGACAGCGCCCACACACCAGGAGGGCAGAAAGGCGCCAAGGGCTGCCCACAAGAGTGGGCCACTCAGTACTGCTTGGGCGGAAAGTTCCAGACAGGGAGGAGCCTGGGGAGTTTTCCAGGGCCTCCTGAACAAGCTCTGGACCCTGGGCTCAGCTCACAGCTAGCGGTTGGGGAAGGGGGTGATGTGGTCACTCTCGGTTGAAAATTGATCCTAGGCTGTGCAGAAAAGGGACTACGGGAGCCCAGCCTGGAGGTCGGATCAGGGCCCAGTGAGGATGAGGTAAGGACACCGCCAGGAGAAGTACTTAGCTGGGAGGAGACCGAGAGGCCAGATGCCAGGCCTTGAGGATGGAGGTGGGGAGGAACCGGGGGGTGACAAGAGGTTCCCAGCCTGGCATAGCGATCCTGGGACCCAGGGGGAGGAGCAAGCAGCCCCAGGGGATAGAGGAGTCAGGTTGGGAGGTGAATTGGTTCTGTGTCTGTGCCCCTGGGGGCACATCAACTTTCCTGTGCCTCAGTTTCCCCCTCTAAAAATTGGGAACAATCAAGCCTGTTCAATGAGATGGCATTGAGGAACCTACTTTGTCACTGGAGAGTGATTTCCTAGCTCAGCCCCGTGGATGTAGCAGAGCCACCAATCCCCAGGTGGTAGAGGGGGTGGACGTGGCTCTGAGCAGGGCCGTGGACATGGCCAAAGGGGCCAGTTCAGGGAGCCTTTGTGCTCAGCACCATGGACAGCTCCAGGGTGGCCTTGGCAGGGGCCTCCCACCACTGGGCTGAAGGGTCCTGTCTTCATCCTGCAGTCTGCCTGCCCTGCAGGCTTCTCGGGAGAGCGGCTGGGTTTCAGTGCCAGTGGGTGGCGCAGGGCTGTGGGGTGTTGCCGTGAGTTGGGGATGAAAGAAAGCTGCATAGAAGAGAGGAGTTCTGGATGCCACCCCCAGGAGAGGAGAGGGGAGGGCCCTGGCCACATGAGAGGAGTGCCACCTTCTGCCTTGCATTTGGCCAGGTGAGCTGATCGTTGTGGTGCAGACAGGTGAGGTGGTAAGGGTAGCAGCAAGGGGACCATGAGGAAGCCAGGGCAGTAATTCGGGTGAGGGGCTGGTGGCGCGACCACAGCTGCGGTGGAAAGCGCTCAGATTGTGAATATGTCTTGAGGATGGAAGGAGTGGATTTGTTGATGGAAAGGGTGGGGGAGGGGAGGGGAGAAAAGGGGAAGACGCTGGACCCTAGCAGCTGGAGGAAAGGAGGAGCGATGGGGTGGCTGAGAGAGGAGCAGAATGGGGTGGGGAGTCAAGAGTCTAATTTGGGGCAGGTAGTGGTGGCCTCTAGATGGGCCAGGGAAGAGGTGTAGAGGACAGCCAGCTTTGAGTCTGGAGTTGGGGCAAAGGCCCCAGGCTGGAGCTCTAGACACCTGGGAGATGGAGCTGAATGAGGCCGCTGGGCCAGAACACGAACAGAGAAGGGCCTGGGGCCCCCACTATCAATAGACCAGGGAGAGGAGGAGGAATAAGCAGTGATGCGGGAGGAAACCAGGAGCACGAGCAAGCCTAGCCTGGGGCTCTGGAGGCCAGGCGAGGAGGAGGGGCGCTGCTCAGCCCAGAGATGCTGATAAGTCCCATCAGACGAGGCCTCAGAGCTGACCCCCGTCTGGCAAGCAGGAGGTTGTCGGTGACCTTGAGCAGACCTGCTTTAGTGAAGTGCGGGGAAGGAAGGGCAGGTTCCAGTGGGCTCTCGAGCGAGTGGGAGGGGAGATGGGGAAGCAGCAAGTAAAACTAACCTTTGTGAGGAGTTTTGCTATAAATGGGGAGCAGAGAAACAGGACGATAGCTGAAAGGGAAGTGGGGTCAAGAGACAGGGTACAACAGCAGCTTTTATGTTGCTGGAAAGATCTAGCAAGGAGAGAGGATGTCACGCTACTGGAGAGAGAGGGTGGGGGATGGCCCTGAGCAGGCAGGAATGTCGGCCTTGCTGGCCCTGCTCCTCCTCGTCTCCCTGGCTTGCTGAGAGCAGGGACTGGGTGGACAGAGCCGTGGGCACAGGCGGCCAGGTGCCTGTGGTGCTGGGGACCTGTGGGAGTCCTCCTCCGATGGCTTTAGTGTCTTCAAAGAGGGAGCAGGGCCAGCAGCAGAGTGGGGGGGGGGGGTGGCGCTTGGAGCCAGAGAGACCTGACAGAGGGAGGGATGCAGTGGGAGCCAGCAAAGACCAAGGCCCCTCAGGCTCACAGTCAGGAATTTAAAGAGCATTAGCGGGTGAGTTTATCCCCAGCTCGGCTCAGCTGTATATGGGTGCAGGCGGGGCGTGGGTGGGGAGCTGGGGGGTTGCCAGGCTGGTACAATAAAACACAGAGGGCCCAGGGAAAGAGGGTGTGTGTGTGGGGGGGGGGTGATGATCATGGCAGAGCTGGGTGAGCAGAGAGGGAGGGAGGGAGCGAGGGGGGCAGGGCAGGTGGAAGGACGCAGAATGTGCTGGAAATAGTGGACTGTGACTCGCCCAGAAGGGCAGGAATCCTGCTCTGAGGGCCTGAGCTCAGGAGAGACTCTGGAGAATGGGGTCAAGGCCAGGCTGTAGTTCGGGTGCTGACAAGGCCAAGGGCATGACAAGGGCACAAGTGGGGGTTGGGGAAAGGGGGACAAGATGCTCCAGAGGAGTCTGGAGAACTGAGGGGCCAGGGTGAGGGAAGAAATCAGCAAAGCATAGCCACAGAGATGGAGAGAGGGTCAGGGCCAGAGTCCCAAATTCAAGGGGGTGGATGACTGCCCCTCTCCAGGAGGGGTAATGGGTGTGTACTTCTGAGGACCTGGGATCCAGCACTGGGGTTTTAAGGAGGCAGTGAGGGAAGGGGCAGAGAATGATCTGGAAGGGGCCTAAGGAGTGGGGAGAACCCTTGGCCCCTCCAGGCTCAGGGCTCCAAGGGCTGCAGGACCCCTGGGAGGGCTGCAGGGCAGTGGTCCTAGAGGAGAGCAGGAAGAAGGGAATGTTAGGGGGTGAGGTCAGTGCCCGCCCCCGGCCCTGACCTGCTGCATGACCTTGGCAGAGCTCCCCCCCTCAGGAAGAGGGGGTGGGATGGCAGCTTCCTCTCCCACATTCTCAGAGCCCTAAATGCCAAGGACACCCCTTTCTCCTCCACCCCTCGCCCCACCATGTGACTTACTTGGAGTGGCTACAGGAGGAGGGGGCAGACCTGCTGGGCTGGGGTCCCCCAAAAGAGGGGAAGCCATGTCAGCAACCGGGGATCAGGCTTGTTTACCTGGCTGCCCAGGAGACCAGGGGAGGGGCCTTCTGGCGGGGAGAGAACCTTGCAATTAAAGGGGCCCCACCTGGAAGTGGCCTGGGGCCGGGAGGGAGAAGGGTAAAGGGGGGTTGGCGGCCCCCTCCTCCCACACCCCTGCAGCTCACCTGGCCCTGCTCAGGAACCATCCGACCCCACCCTGGCACTCAGACACCTCTGGGCCCCTCCCCACTAACCCACCCAGGTTCAAGGCCCCCACGCCTCTTCTTCCCCGGTCGCTCAGCTCAGTCTCGTGTCCACAACCCCATCGGGCACGCTCACAAGGCAACAGAGCCCAAAATCCATCCCACAGGCATCCCACCAGTATTCGGGGTCCGAGGGGCTGCGCATCAGCAGCCCCGTCTTCAGCAGCTCCAGTAGTCCCGTGAAATGGGTCAAACCAGGCCCCTGGCCTCAGGGGACCTGATGCGTTCAGGTTCCCTCAAAGTGGACCAAGCCCAGTGGGGGAGCGGGGACAGGAGCCATCAAAAGGAAGGTAGCTCATGACATGTGCGCAGTGGGTGCTGACCACTGGGGGACAGCCTCGAAGTCACCCCAGCCTCCAGGGGTTCACCCTGGGGGGCGTTTTCCCCAGCACTGCGGCCTGCCAGGGGGCTCCAGTGTCTGTCCTCGGGGAAGATGGGAAAGGGCTGGATGCCCAGCTCAGACTGTCCTGTGTGCACTGAAGGTCCCACGTGCCCAGGGCCATGCGTTACCACAACCCACTGTCTGCTGGAAGCGCACAGCGACTCGGGGGGAGAGGGCGTCTTCCAGAAGCCTGGCCCCCTCCTCTACAGCGCAAACTCACACTCATCCTTCAGGCCCTAGCTCACGCTGCCTCCTCCAGGAAGCCCTCTCCGCCTATTCTGTACACCTCAGAGGCCCACAAGGCCCAGCTGGCCCTCCCACTGGAAGTCACGTGGGGGTTGTGCCTTCCTTGGTTAGATACCTTGGGTTAAGCTAGACAGGCTCACTGCAGGCTGGGCAAACCGCATTACCTCCCTGGGCCTCAGTTTCTCCATCCATAAAACAGGGCTGAAGCAGCCTACACACTTCAGTGAAAAAATTAGTGTAAAGGGGGGGGGTGCCTTGGTGGCTGCCAGTTAAGCGTCCAACTCTTGATTTTGGCTCAGGTCCTGATCTCAGGGTCCTGGGATGGACCCCTGTGTCGGGTTCCCTGTGCTCAGCAGGGAGTCTGCTTGAGTTTCTCTCTCCCTCCCTTCCCCCTGCTCGCTCATGCTCTCTCACTCCCAGTAACTAAATACATAAATAAAATCTTTATTTTAAAAAAAATTAGTGTACCATAGAGGAGGGATGATATAATGTGACGGAACTGGAAATGCGACAGGGTCACAAAGAACGGCCCCCATCCCTGCGGACTGGCTTCCTGACGACCTCGGGACAGGAGCTCACGGTTGAAGGACCTCCAGTCCCTGAGCCGATGGGACAAAGGCTGGAACCCTCCCCCAGCTCTTCTCTGCAAGCCCTTGCCAGTGCGTTTGACACTCACTAGCACAGAGGACAGGCAGCGCACGGAACAGAGAGTCCCCGTATTCCTGAAGCTGCAAGAGTAGGAGCCACACGCCCCGTGCACCCTCCAGTGTGGGCCCAGAGCGCAGGTTCTCCCTCCCGCACGGTGTCTCAGGGCCAGGGCACTCCACGACATGAGCACCAGCCCCGACGAGTGTTCCCGGGGTCCGGCCTCCAGCCCAGACGTCCAGGCCCTGAGTGCCATGGTGGGGTCCCGAGAAGCAGTAACTCAGGGCCCGATGGGCCCCCGCACGACGCACAGTACCCCCCTCCCGCACAAGCCGCTTCCCACCCACCAGCGCCTCCTGAGCCCCTGGTCAAGCCAGGCCCGGGGCTGGACATGCAGGCTGAGAGCCCAGCCCTCGCGGTCCTCGCAGGGCAAGAGCACAGCCAGCCGTAGGCCCGAGAGTCAGCCACGGGCAAGTGGGTGCCTGTGTTTCACGTGACAGGGCCTGTTTTCTATCATCCCGTGCTCCAGCCGCATGGGCCAACGAACCCCAGCTCTCAGGGCAGGCAGCAGCGCTGGGGGGTGGCTCAGCCATCCACAGCATGGGAGAAAATAATGCCATTTCTGACATTTTTTTTTAAAGATTTTATTTATTTATTCATGAGAGACAGAGAGAGAGAGGCAGAGGGAGAAGCAGGCTCCCAAGGAGCAGGGAGCCCAATGCGGGACTCGATCCCAGGACCCTGAGATCATGACCTGAGCCGAAGGCAGACGCTTAACCATCTGAGCCACCCAGGCGCCCGCCATTTCTGACATTCTACAGAGCACCGCTGGGCACCGCTGGGGACCAGGACCCGCCACGCCGTGGCCGCTCGGCCAGCGTGTATTAGTCCGGGGAGCGGCAGTGACAAAGAGCCCCCGGCACGGCAGCTTCAGGAGGACGGAGCACCGTCCCTCCTGCAGTGTCTGTGGCAGGCCTCCAGGCAGCTCGGCTCCACAGCCCCCACACCCCAGGGGTGCGGGCTCCCCCCAGCTGTGGCTCCACCCCCTCACGCGTGGCCCCTGGTCGGAGGTCACGCCCCATGGCAACCCAGCCTGGAAGACGGGCCAGAGGCCGTCCTGGGCCAGCAGCTTCCTCGTAAGAACACGAGGAGAAACTGCACTTGGACGCTCTAACTCCAGGGGCCAGTTGGGTCCCCAGGCCCTCTTGGCTGCAGGGGAGGCTGGGATATGTAGCCCACACCTGAGCCGTCAGGTGCCAGCATCTGGAGGGACAGCTTCCAGCTTGCCGCAAGAATGCAGACAGACCCAGGGGGTCTTAGCTCGGGCTCCCCCAAGCACTGTATTAGTTCCCCAGGGCTACTGTGACAATCACCACCAACAGTATCACGGGGACAGAATCAAGGGTTCCGCAGGGCCACACTCCCTCCAAAGGCTCCAGGGAGAACCTGTTCCTCGCCTCTCCCGGCTTCTGGGGGATTGCTGGCATTCCTTGTTTGTGGCCACATCGCCCCACTCTCTGCCTCCGTGGTCACGTGGCCTCCTCTTCTCTCTGCGCATCAAAGCTCCCTCTGCCTCTCTCTCAGAAGGATCCGTGTGATTGCATTGAGGGACCGCCCGGAAAATCTGGGATAATCTCCCCATCTGAAGCTCTCTGACTTAATCCCAGCCCCAAAGTCCTGCTTTGCTGTACAGGATAACAATTCCCTGCTCCGGGGATTCGAACATCGACATCTTTGAGGGCTGTTATTCAGCCGCCCACCAGACCTTAAGGCAAATCATTTGAGGATAAGAGGTCACTTGAGAAGCCATCCCGGGGCACACTGTAGGGGATGGAAGGAGGCTGATCCGGGCTGTTACCAGGCAAGTGGTTCTCTCCGGAGCCACCAAGGCTCCATCCCACGAGCTGATGCCCTGGCACCTCATCCAGTGGCCTCAGAGCCCCCTCAAGGAAGACAGGCTGGCATTGAAACACAGCAAGAGGAAATGGCCGGTGACACGGGTGGGGAAACAGTGTCCTCTGCTCCCTGGTCCCCACCTTCAGGAAGCTTGCAGTCTAGTTGGAGAGATAGATAAAAGGCAAGTTAAGGGGGCGCCTGGGTGGCTCAGTTGGTGAAGTGTCTGCCTTCGGCTCAGGTCATGATCCCAGGGTCCTGGGATCGAGTCTGGCATCGGGCTCCCTGCTTAGTGGGGAGCCTGCTTCTCCCTCTCCTCTCCACTCATGCTCTTTCTCGCTATTTCTGTCTTTCCCTCTCAAATAAATAAATAAAATATTTTTTTAAAAAAAGACAAGTTGAGTCAGTAAATAAAAGAATTATCCATTGTGATAAGGCTAGAGAAGGAAACTGTCAGGGAGCTGGGGCAGAGGCAGGGGCTGTGGGGACACCCCATGTACTATTTTGTGGTCCAAGACAGCTTCTTGGGGGAAATAACATTGAAGCTGAGGTTAAGGAAGGACAGTATGTCATGTGAAAGGGAGAGAAAGAGGGTCTGAGAAACCCTTTGCATATGCAAAGGCCCTGTGGCAGGAAAGACAGCGCTTGAGGAACAAGAACTAGCCCAGGAGGCCATGGCTGGTGAGCAGTGAGCTCACCGGAGAAAGGAGAGCACCAAGGAGACTGGGGGACCAATAGGGGCCAGTCCCCTTCTCCAGCTGGGAGTCACAGCCCAAGTGTTCCTTCCACCACCATCTCGGCCACCTCCCTTCTCAGCAGGGCTCCTGCTGCATGTCTTCCCTTCTCTGCCTCCCCGTCACTAGAGATGCAGGTGCCTGTCTCCTTGACAAGCCAGCCAGGGTGTCCAGGGGAGCGAGCAGTGCGGGGAGAGGCAAGCAGACCCTGCGGGACTTGCCCGGCGCAGCTTGAACCCCCAGATAATCCCCTCCTGGTGCTGTGACTGCCTCCGAGTTATTTTTAAAATCTCATTTTCAGAAAGTGGAGGAGAAAACCTTTCCCCACTTTTTTCTGTGAAAGATTCAGAAAGGAGTGTGGAAAGAGGAGCGGACCCTGGAAGACAGGGTGTGTCCCGGGCAGCGCACCTGCAGGGACCTGGGGCCTCTGCTGACTCAAGGAGCGGGACCCTCCGGGGCAGCCTCCACAGAGGAGCCCATCCGCTGCTTCCACCCGGCAGGCATGTTGCGGGCACCTACTAAGTGCTGGAGCTCAGCAGGGAGAAGGGGTCTCCACCTTCATGGGGCACAGGGTCTGGTGGAGACCATGGTGATGAGCCAAGGGCCCACAGGGGGCTCTCCCAAGAGCCTGGCCATCAGGAGCCGTGACGGTGGTGGAGGACAGGGAGGGTGCCAGCATGTGTGGGCAGAGCAGAGTGAGCCTGGGTGGGCTGGCAGCACCCAACTGACCCCAAGGGCCGGGAAACACAGGGGCCTGTAGGGGGGCGCTCTCAGGGAAGAGAGTAACTCCCTGATCCAGAAAGTTCTGGAGCAAGAATTGGAGCCATAGAGCCCAAGGCCCAGAGGAAGAGAAGCCGCGAGAAGACCCAGAGCCCGGTCCTGGGATCCCGGCCCCGCACTCGAAGCCACTTGAGGCTGGACCCCTTGTGCTCAATGGGTTTAAACAGCCTGAGAGGGGGTCAGGTGGTCAGATGGGCCATTGTGCTCCTGGGGGAGGGTCCTCCGGAGGGAAACTTGTCTGCCTGGCACCTGCTGTCAGTACCCCAGCCTCCCCCATCCCACCTCCCAGAGGTGCCCAGATGAGCTCATGTTGAAGCAACCTCAGCAGGGAGCCCAGGGAAAGCAGGGGTGGCCTCACAGAGGAGGTGACCTGGGCTGGGGTGGGAGGCTTCTGAGGGCAAATAGGGGCGTGCAAGGGGTTTCTTCAGGAAAGCAGGGGTGTGGTGGGGAGGGATGGGGTGTTAAAAAAAATTATTCAGAACACTTGTTGAAGGGGGTGAGATGGATTTGTTCCCATCACAACAGGTGCAGGGACCAGCGCTCTGGGGTCACTCTGGGGTCCAGCGTGCGAGGGATGAGGAAACTGATCAGATGTGGAGGGCTGTGGGGGGCGGAGGGTGAAGGATTCTTCCTAAAACTGGACGTCACCAGAGGGCACAGATGGGCCCAGGAGAAGGTTCCAGAGCCTGACCAAGCAGAGAATCTTTGTCAAGGGCATTCCAGGGGAAGGCATCGCATAAAGCCTCAGAGGCTGACCTGGCTGCAGCTGGGAGCAGGGAGGGGGTGGGGGCAGAGGGGCTGGGCTGTCAGCCCCGGGTGAGCCCCCTCCTCTCTGGGGCAGGAACAGCGTCCCCTGGTGTGGTCCCCGGCAGGAGTGGAGCTGGAGGGAGCCCTGCAGAGGCGCGGAGCGGGAGCGAGCTGGCGCCTCCAGGTGGGTAGGTTGCCCAGGGCCCCCTCCCCAAACGCCTTCTGGGCTGGGAGGGCTGCTGGGTGGGGAGAGCGGCAGGGACGCCGCTGCCCAGACCTGCCTGGGCCCGCAGCGCCATCTGCCGGCCACGTGGCGAGGCACAGGCGGGCGCCTACCCCAGGCCCCGCCTGCCTGCTTCCTATGCTGGGGAGGAGGGAGGAAGAGGGAGAAGCGGGAGGAGGAGGGAGGAGGAGGGGGAGGAGGGGCGAGAGGGTCAGCAGGCCTCCTCCTCACACCGGGCCGGAGTGAGGGGCTCCACCTCTGACCGCTGTGTGACCTCCGGCCTGGTTCCCACCCTCACTGAGCTCCATCCCAATCCAGGGTGGTGCCACTATGAGAGGCAGCCAGGAGGCTGGGAGCCCACGTCCAGCAGAGGCGGTGTCTCTGGTGCCGATGGGGCTCCCTAATTCCTGGCAGGCCCGGGGGAGACGGGCACGTGGCATGACCCAGCCAGGGGTGGTTCAACCCTGACATCTTGCCATTTTCATGGTGAGGCGGGGGTGGGGAGAGATGGACAAATGCCAGCACTCAGGTCTCAGTCGGTGACCCTCCCCACGTCCCCTGGGGCGGAGGTGGGTCCACAGAGGAGGCTCGTCCACACCCACCCAGGTGTGATGTTCGAATTCCCCGGACATCCAGCCTCCCCCGAAGCCTGCAGAGACAGGAGTGCGCCACCTCTGAAGAGCTCCTTCATGTTACCTGGCCAGGACTTGCCGGAAGTTCTCCCCCAGAAACGAGGTTGCAGAAAACCTGCCTCGCCATTCATTGATCAGGGCCTTGCAGGAACCCAAAAGGCCCAAGGGGCCCTGGGAAGGTCAGGGCCAGAACCTGCGAGGCCCCCAGGCTTGTCCCCTCCTCTGTCTCCTCCCTTCTGCCTGGACCCCTAAAGGGGGGATGGGCAGTCCTCGGGGGCCCCCCTCCCAACCCCAAGGTCTCACTCTTGGCCCCAATTTCAAATTCCCAAGTGGAAGAGAGACTGGTTGGACCATCTTGCCCAATCAGCCTGGCAAATACCTGAAAAGGAGCTCTCTGAAGAAAAACAAGGGTCCTGCTCGAGGCATTGTGTGTGTCCGTGGTGGAAGTCCCTGCACCGTGGCTGATTTCCCACTACCAGGGTGGCTGCAGTGCGCCCCGAGTGGGCAGAGGTGCGGGGTGACTCCCCACAGATAGGTCCTTAGCTGCAAATAACCCCTAGGGCACAGTGAAATCTAGCCCAGTAATCAGGAAGTGATGAGTTTGGGGTATTTATTACCTGTTTTTAATATAATGCATTTAACTATGAGCTTCTATGGCTGTATTTAACAACCAACTCTCCACATTCCTGAAAATTTAACAATAGTCATGAGAGCCATTTGGGGGCCACTCCAGCACACCCCTGACCAAGGCCACTAAGCAGAAGAGTTCCCAGGACATGCCCCAGAGGCATCGGAGGACAAGTGTCAGAGAAGGGGCGCTCCCCCCAAAAGCCTGTTCTGGCAGCTTAGCAGGATCCGCCTTTCTGGGGACCCTCCTCCACAAATGAGTGTATGGGCCTAGTTCGTAGCAGTCCCCTTCGGCACACTGGGTCGGAGGAACTCGAGCTCAGGGTTTCCAGGCAAACCAGGGTACATGCAGACCCTTCCATTTCAGAGCGACCCCAGGAGTGGCTTCACCTCTGAGCCCTGGGGAGAATCACAGCTCCCACCACCCGGGCTTGTGGTCTGGTATAGGACTCCAGGTGACAAGCTCAGAGAGCGCCGGGGACCTGCGGAGGCCTCGATAAACCTACCATCGTCCTAACTCACCTCGCCCTCTGCCAGCCTGTCTCCTCCCCTACGACCTGCTGAGAATCCAGACACCCATCCCATGGGAGCAGCATGAGGTTTAACCCCAGGCAGACCCAGCGAAGGCGCCCACAATGCCCAGCAGCTAGGCCGTGTTGGGCACCTGTCCTGCACCAAGCACCGCTCACAGAAAAGCAGGTTGAATGTCAGAACCACCTGGGGGAAGGCGGGCATTGCCAGCCCCCATTTAGAAAGAGATCACGGCTTCAGAGAGGTCATCCAGCCCGCAGTACCAAAGCTGGAGTTTGAACCCCGGGGGCCCCCAAGCCTCGGGGGTGAGCAGTGGTTGTCTGTTGTCTATGAGACACATGGCTGTTTCCAGAAGGCAGGGCTGACTGCACAGTGTGGCCACAGGTGCTGGAGCCTAGGGCCTGGCTGGGCAGAGGGAGATGCTCATGGGGCTGCAGGTAGCTGGCCCAGGAGCAGGTCCCGGCCCCAGCACTCCCTTGTCCCTGCAACACCCTCACCCTCAGCCCCCCACTCACGAACCCCACCTGTAAGGCCTCCAGCATCCGAGTATGGGGACAAGGGGCCATGCTGGGACCCACTTTCTCTGCAGCCTTGCATCTGGACTATGGCCCTGTGGAAAGGGAGCTCATAAAGAACCTAATTCTGCCACTTTTCCCTGGTACCGAGCATGTATCATATATCTGGTGCTGCGTAACAAATGACCCCAAAACTTAGCAGCTTAAAACAACACACATTTACTATCTCACGGTTTCTTAGGTCAGGAATCCAGGCTTGGGTTAGCTGGGTCTTTGGTCTCAGGGTTCCTCACAAGCCAGAGACAGAAGGGCTGAGCCCAAGGCCACATCAGGAACACACACGTACTGTGCCCAGGACAGTGTCCAGTTCCACAGCACTGGCCCTGGGAAACGGCCCAGAGCACTGGAACCATTGTGACCTCAGGGGTTAGGTCAGGGCCCGCTGGGGCGGGGGAAGGGGAGACACAGAGATAGGGCTGCCCCACCGGGCATGAGGACAGAGCTGGAGGCTGGGGCCTGTGGGTTCTCCAAACCGCACCCCAACATGGACGGGCAGCACTCGGAAAAGCCACACAGCCACAGCACGGCTGATAGGACGTCATCAACCATGTCCCAGAACTCCAGGTCAGCCCAGCACCAAGCTGGGGCATGTGGGAACCCAGAAGGGGATGCCCGATGCCCTGCTTCCCACAGGTACCCTGGCTTCTCCATCTTTCAGGAGCGGGCCTCCCTGCAGGACAGCAAGGGGCACGCCCGGGGCGCATCTGAGGCTGAGCCAAGGAAAGAGGAGTCCGTGCAGCCAGGAACAGCGGTGGGTGGCGGGCGGGATTGGGGATGAGCTCCACCCGGCAGCCCTTGACTCTGTGGAGAGGAGGCTGGGAGGGAGGCTATTGCAACCGAATGCGGCGTGGCTGTCGGCCGCTTGTGGGGCTGGCAGCGTGTCACCGTCCGGTCCACACATGCCTGCTGCAGGAGTGAGTGAGGGGACTGAGGGACAGACGGGCTGACACTGGCCGCCTGCTTCCCGGAGCCTCGGCTTCTCATGTGCACAATGGATCGTGGTACAACGGCCCCGTGTCCCAGCAAAGACGCGGCGCGTCCTGCGCAAGGCTGCTGCACCAGGGCAGAGGTGGCGGGGGCAGGGCAGGGGCCGGCGGGGGGGCAGGTGGGGGGCAGGGCAGGGGCTGGCGGGGGTGGGGCGGGGGCGCAGGGGCTGATGGGGGGGCAGGGCAGCGGCTGGCAGGGGGCGGGGCAGGGGCAGGCGGGGGGGGGGAGCAGGGCAGAGACTGCGGGGCGGGGGGGGGGGGGGCGGGCAGGGGCAGGCGGGCTCCCTCCCCTGCCACCTCAGACCCCCAGGGCGCCCTCCACGGGGCCGGGCCAGGGCAGGCCCAGCTCTCCAGACTGTCCCCGGGCGGGTCTGGAGCAGGGTTCCCGTTTGTGACGCCCATCGTGGCGGGCTGTTCCAGAAGGAGCAGCTTCGCACCTGCTTTGAACTCGGTTATTTTGGTCCGCACACAGTCGTCTCCGTGTGTGTGTTGTCAGGCCCGTCTCCTCCTCTGCCACATCTTGGATCACTTCGAAGGCGAGAAAACGCTCCCCTCTGCAGCTGTTTGCCTGACTATGCTTCTGCCGTTTTTCTGTATTTAAAAATATATTCAGTTTGGTCGTCACGGGGCTAGGATGCCGTTTTAGGGCGAGATACCGGCCAAGTGCTTGTGGGTGACACTGAGCAGCCTGAGTTCCCTCCTGGGTGCAGAGGGGAGCCGGGCTCCAACCCGTGGTGAGATTCCCACAGAGGTGGCACCAGCCAGCCTCCATCGGGAAGGCCACACTTTCTGGGAGTGGCAGGGAAGTGGCTGGTTTTTTGAGAGGTGGCAGGAAGGTTCAAGTGTGCACTGAGCCCCGCCGGCCACCGTCCCCAGGATGCAGGCTTCGGACTTAGGCTGGGTCTGAACCAGCCTTATCCCACAGAGGCTGTGTGTCCTGGGACAGGTCACTGAACCTCTCTGTGTCTCTGCACCGCTTGGGGTTGGTGTGTGAGGACAGTATGGAGTGTGACGAGGTAGGGATGGAGGGTCAGAGGAAAGGTGACGAGAGGGGCACCCATCCCTCTCTGTCAGGACGTTGTGTGCAGCAGGGGCGAGCCCCCCCCAGAATGCCTTCATCTACACATCACTCACTTGTCCAGCCACCCAGCACCCCCACACCGGGCACCTGTCGGACAGCCTCACCTCAGCAGCATCCCGATGGCCGAGGCTCCCTGACCAGGCTGTCTAGCATGGCCCCGCAGCTTGTCCAAACCCTGTCCCTGCTCGATTTCCCCATCTCACTGTCCCCAGCTGGTGCAGGACAGAATCTGTCCATTGCCTCTGCCCCAGAACACGAGCACTACAAGGGAAGGAGTTTCTTTGTGTGTCGTTCGGACAAAGCCCCAGGGCCTGGAGCAGTGCCTGGCTGCAATAGGTACTCACTGAAGGAATGAAGGCAGGAAGCGACGAGGCTCCCCCGAGCACTGTGGAGGGCTCGGGAATGACGGAGATGGCCAGCCACTCCAGGCCAAGGGCCCCAGCCCGTCTCTGCCCCCACACCTGGTAAACACTGTCATCCCGACACATGCCCTGGACGTGACAGCTTCCTGAGGACAGTCTGGCTGAGTGCAGAAATGCGACATCTCTGGCCCATCAACCCCAGGAGTGTCCCCTGCTTGGCCACCTGGTCACTGGTTCCCAAAGAGGCAGACAGTGGGGAGGGTCCTCAGTTCCGGCATGGCTATGGGATGGAGTGAGCATGAACACCGTCTGAGAAGGGAGCTGGCGGAGGCAGGACTGCCAGGAACAGCTCCAGGAGGTCGGGAGGAGGAGGGTCTCACTGTCTGAGGAAGTCCCCCCAAGGCAGTGCGCCTCAGACTCACCCGCTCACTCGTTTGTTCTATCGACCTTCACTGACAGCCTGCCCAGGACATGTTGGGGACCCAGGGATAGCCAGCACATCCCGAGGGACGCTTGGGAAGGAAAAGGGCCAGGGGGTAGTCAGCAGTGACACCAGGGTTCAGGAGAGCCAGGGAGGTCCCTCGGCCAGCCGGGGAGTCGGGGAAAGCACCCCAACCCCAGGATGCTCTTTCCAAGTCAAGAAGGCTGAGGGGTGGGCCTCTGTGCATTGCCCTGAAAGGGACAGGGAGAGAGGAGGAGAAAGGACCCACGCTCTGGGCAGCGGGCCCAGGAGAGCAAAGGCTGACGGGTCAGGTGGACCGGGCTTGGACAGCTGGATCCTGGCGAGGGCGCTGTTGGGGTGAGAGCAGGGGGGCTGTCACAGGCCTTTTCCAGAGATGAGGATGGGCTCACCGTTGCTTTGATACATCACTCTAACATTCATCCCACAAATATTTGCTGAGCACCTGCTTGGTGTGCCAGGCACTGTTGCAGGTGTTGGGGGATACAGCTGGAGATAAGACATAAAGATCCCTGCCCTGGTGGCTACCTTCCAGTGGGGCAGACAGCCAATAAACAGTAGATGTAATAAAGTAAGTTATCTAATGCTACAAGGTTAAAAGTGATAGGGAAGAAGTTGAGAGGGGGAGGGGTAGAGAGGCGGGTGGGGGGCAGGCTGCAATTTTAAATACGTTCATCTAGGAGGTAATACTTGAGCCAAGACTCGAAGGAGGTGAGAAACTGAGCCAAGCAGCTATCTGGAGGAAGGATGTTCCCCAGACTGAAGGATCAGCCAGTGCAAAGGTCCTGAGGTAGAAATATGCCTGGTGGTTTGAGGAGCAGCAGGAGCTCACTGTGACTGGGATGGAATAAGTGAGAGAAAGCAGAAGGTGGAGGGGGGTGAAATCATTTCTGTTCTTAGAGATCTTGCTTTCGTTTTTATTATGGTATAATTTATGTACGGTAAAATTCTCTCTTTAGTGGATAACTCTGCAAGTTTTGACAAAGTCATACAGTCGTCAATCCACTACCACAAGCAAAAGATATGAAACAGATCTATCTCCCCAGAATCCCCCATGCCCTTTGTAGTCAGCCCTCCCCCAACTTCCCATCCCTGGAAACCTGTTTTCTGTTTCATTGACCTTCTTCAGAAAGCCATCAAGGTGGGATGATACAGTGTGTGGCTTTCAGGGGTTGGCTTCTCTCACGTGGCATGATGAGTTTAAGAACGGTCCATGTTGTGTTTCTCAGTGATTCATTTCTTTTTGTTGCTGCTGACTACTTCCATGGATGTAATACACAGTTTCCTTATGCATTCACCAAAGGACATATGCATCTCTTCAGTTTGGGGCTATTACAAACAGAGCCATTATAGACATTCGCATACAGATTTTGTGTGAAAGTAAGTTGTTATTTCACCTGAGTACACAGCTAGGGGTGGAGCGGCAGAGTTGGGTGGTGAGTGTATGTTTGACCTTCTAAGAAAGCACCACGCTTACTTTCTGCACTGGCTGCACTGTTTCACATCCTCACCAGCAATGTGCGAGAGGTCCAGTTACCCCTCAACCTCACCAGCACTTGTTATTTTCAGGTTTTTCCCCAATTTTAGCTATTCTAGCAGACGTGTAGCGATATCCCACTGTGGTTTTCACTTGTTTCCTTTGTGAAGAATGATGTGGAGCACTTGTTATGGGCTTATTTGCCATCTGTTCATCTCCTTTGGGGGAACGTCTATTCAAATCTTCTTTCTGTATTTTGTTAGACCGTTTGTGTTTATGTTTGAGTTTTTCGTTTTGTTTCGTGAGTTATTTATATATTCTGGATACGGATCTTTATCAGATATGTGATTTGCAAATATTTCCTCCAGGTCCACAGCTTATCTGTTCATTTTTTCTAGATGTCTTTCAAGAAGTTCTTAATTTTGATGAAATCCAGCTTAATATTTTTTCTTCTATGGATTGTGCTTTGGGTGTCACATCTAAGAAATCTTTAATCACAAAGATTTTCTCCTACATTTTCTTCGAGAAGTTTAGATTCTAGGTTTTGCTTTTAGGTCTGCGATCTATCTTGATTAATTATTGGATAGAGCATGAAACATAAACTGGGGGACATTTTTGCACGTGTACATCCAGTTATTGCACGCTATTTGTTGGATACATTTTCTTGATAGAATTATTTTGACTTTTATCAAAAATCAGTTGGCTTTGGGGCAGTTGGTTGGCTCAGTGGGTAGAGCATGCAACTCTTGATCTCGTGGTTGTGAGTTCAAGCCCCACATTGGGTGTGGAGCCTACTTTAAAAATTTAAATTAATACAGTTAAGTTTTTTTTAAAGTCAGTTAGCCTTGTACGTGTGAGTCTTTTTCTGGACTTTTTGCATTGAATATTTAGAGATATTTTTACAAAACTGACATCTTAACAATATTGAGTCTTCTGATCCATGAATGTGGTATATCTCTCACTTATTAAAGTTTTCTTTATTTCTTTATTTCATTGCTAGTTTATATTTTACCGTTCATAGACCTTGCAATTATTTCTTAGTGTACCTAAATATCTCATGATCTTTAATGCTACTGCATATGGTACCTTTTTATTTTCAAGTCACAATTGCTTTTTGCTAGTATAGAGAAATATGACTGATTTTTGCATCCTGACTTTATTTTTGCAAATTTGCCAGACACCCTGTTCAGTTCTAGTAGGATTTTTGTAGATTCTTTGGAATTTTCTAATTAGATGATAACATCCTCTGTAAGTAGAGATAGCTTTTTTCTTCCTTTCCAGTCTGCACACTTTTAATTTCTTTTCTTACCTGTTTGTATTGACTGAGCCCTCAGTACCATGTTGAATAGAAGTGGTGAAAACAGACATCCCCTTCCCTCATTCCCAATGATGTGAGGAAAACATTCAGTCTTTCACCATTAATAAGTGTAATATTAGCTATAGGATTTTTGTAGATGTTTTTAATCAGGTTAAGGAAATTCCTTTAATTCTTGTTTTTATTGTGAATATATGTTGAATTTTGTCAAATGCTTTCTCTGTATCTACTGAGATGATTATATTATTTTCTTCATTCATCTACCAATATGGTAATTTACATTGACTGATTTTCGATTGCTCAACCCGCCTTGCATGGCCAGGATAAGACCCACTTGGTCATGGTAGATACACATGTCTGTATATTTTGGATTCGTATGTTAAGAAAGTTTGCAGTGCCTTTCTTTGGTTTTGGTATCAGGGCACTAATGTTCACCTCACTGAATGAGTTAGGAAGTGTTCCCTCTTTAATTTTCTGGAAGAGTTTTATAGTATTGGTATCATTTGTTCCTTAAATGATAGAGTTTAAGAGTAAAGCCACCTGGGCCTAAAGTTTTCTTTGTGGGAAGGTCTTCAACTACAAATTCAATGTTTATAATAGACAACTGGCTATTCTGGTTATGCAGTTATTCTTGATTGAGCTTTGCTATTTTATGACTAAGGAATTCATTTTATCTGGGTTGTCAAATTTATTGGCATCAAGTTGTTCATAATACTCTCTCACTATCATTTTAATGTCGGTAGGATTTTTAATGATGTACCTATTCTCCCTCTTTATATTAATAATTTGTGTCTTCTTTCTTTTTGCCCTAATAAAGCCTGATAGTAGTTTTCAAATGTATGTATCTTTTCAAAAAGCTGGCTTTTGGTTTCATTGATTTTCTCTATTGTTTTTCTGTTTCCACTTCATTGATTTCTGCTCTACTTTTTATTATTTTCCTTCTTTGGGCTTAATTTGCCCCTTTCCCCTAGTTTTTAAGATGGAAACTTAGGTCATTGATTTCAGACCTCTATTCTTTTCTAATACTATAAGTTTTAATGCTATAAATTTCCCTCAAAGCACTGCTTTAGCTGCATCTCATGCATTTTTATATGTTGTGTTTTCATTTTCTTTCAATTCAAAATACTTTTTACTTTCTCTTTTTAATTTCTTCTTGACCCATGCATTATTTAAAATTGTTATTTAGTTTTCAAAATACTTGGGGATTTCCCATCTATCTTTCTGTCATTGATTTCTAATTTCATTCTATTGTGGTCAAAGAGTATGCTTTGTTTGGTCTGAATCCTTTTAAACTTATTGAGACTATTTTATGGCTCAATATGATCTATCTAGGTAGATGTTCCACATGAACTTGAAGAAAATGTGTGTTCTTCTGTTGTTAGATGGAGAGTTTTGTAAATGCTAATTAGATTACATTAGCCAAGAGTATTATCAAGTCTTTTATATCCTTAATGATTATATCTGTCTTCTTGTTCTATCAATTATTGACAGAGGGATGCTGAAATCTTCAACTATGATTCAATTATTCTTCAACTATTTCTCCTTTTGGTTCTTTTTTACTTTATATATTATGAAGTTCTGTTATTAGGTGCATGAACATTTAGAATTGTAAGTCATCTTGACAAATGATCCCTTTATCATTATGAACTGATTCTCTTTATCTCTAGTTATATTATTCACTCAAAAATATACTTTTCCTAATATTAACATAGCCACTTCTGTTTTCTTTAGAATATGGTTAGCATGGTATATCTTTTTTCATCTTTTATTTTTCATTGATTTGTGTCTATTAGATTTCAAGTGTATTTCTTATAGGCAGCATATATTTGGGTCTTGATTTTTTATTCAATTTGACAGTCTCTGCTATTCGATTGAGATAGTTAAATCATTTACATTTAATGTGACTGTTGAAATGATTTTGTTTTAATCTACCATCTTGCAATTTGTTTTCACTTTTTTTCTTCTCTTCTTTGTTCTATTTTTCCTCTTTGCCTCTATGTCTTTTGTTGGCTTATTAGCTATATATATTTTTAGTTGACTCCCTGATTTTTTAGTGATTGCTTAGGGCTTGTAGTTTACAAATTTACCATATCTCAGCCTACCTTCAAGTGATATTATGCCACTTTACTTATAGTATAAGAATCTTACAATATATTATTTCCATTTCCCTTTCCTGGCCTTTATGGTATTGCTGACATATATTTTACTTCTACATTTGCTATAGGCCCTACAAAGCATTGGTGTTTTTACTTTAAACTTGAAAAATAAGAAAAAATATTTTACATTCACCTACATATTTACCATTTCCACTGTTCTCTGTTCTTTTATGTGTTTCCATATTTCCATCTGGTATTATTCTCCTTCCACCTGACAGACTTCCTCAAACACTTCTTATGGTGCAGGTCTGCTGGTTATGAATTCTTTCAGCTTTAGTGCATATGATAAAGGTTTGGTTATACCTTCAGTTTTTAATTTTTTTTTCTCTGAGTATAGGATTCTAGCTCGCCAGGTGTTTTTTTGTTGTTGTTGTTGTTTTTCTCTTAGTGTTTTAAAATGTTGCTCTATGTCTCCAATGCTTGCATTATTTCTTTTTTTGAAAAGATTTTTTTTTTATTTTTTATTTGACAGAGAGAGAGAGACAGAGAAGGAACACAGCAGGGGCAGAGGGAGAGGGAGAAGCAGGCTCCCCACAGAGCAAGGAGACTGATGTAGGGTTCGATTCCAGGATCCCGAGATCATGACCTGAGTCCAAGGCAGACGCTTAATGACTGAGCCACCCAGGCACCCTGCTTGCATTATTTCTGACTAGAACTATACTCTTGCTCTTATCTTTATACTTTTGCATATAACGTGTCTTTCTTTCTCTGACTTTTCTCTGGCTTTCTTTCTTAAAATTTTCTCTTAGCATTGGCTTTAGGCAATTTTATTTCAATGTCATTTGGTTTAATTTTCTTCATGTTTCTTTCACTTGAGGTTCATTGAGTTTCTTGGATCTGTGGGATTTTTAGTTTTTATTAATTTGGAAACTTCAGATATTATTTCCTCAAATATTGTTTTCTGTCTCCCTTTCTTCTCCTGTGAGGATTTACATTACACACACACTGTTTTGAGGTTGTTCTACAATTCACTGATTGCTCTATTCCGTTTTTTCTGGTCTTTTTTCTATTTGTGTTCCATTTTGGGGTAGTTTCTGCTGTAGTATCTTCAAGTTCACTAACCTTTGCTTCTACTGTGTCTAATCTGCTCTTAAATTTATCCAGTGTATTCTTAATCTCAAACATTGTATTCTTCATCTTGCTTATGTTTTCCATGTCTCTCCTTAGCATGCTTATGTTTTAATCTACCATGCTGAACATGTGGAATATTGTTACAATAACATTTAAAGTCCTTGTCTACTAATTCTACCATTTGTGTCATTTCTGTGTTGCTTTTGATCAATTAATTTTTTTCTCCTACTTAGGGGTCATATTTTCTTGCTGCCATGTGTGCCTGGTAATTTTTTATTCAAAGTGAACAAGACAAAAAACCATCAACAAATTCTATAGGTACATTATTGGTATATTAGAAGGTGGTTCATCTCTTTTAACATTTACCCATTAATTTATTCTACCACATAAGAAATGTATGTCAGATCATGTCACTCAAAAACCTCTGTGGTTCCCCACTGAACTCAGAAAACACTGCAAAGTCCTGAAGAAGATGATACCAGTGCTTCCCTCAAAGATGGAGCAACAAGGACCAGATTCCCCCTCCTTCCTTAAACAACTCAAAAATTGGGGGAATAAATATACAAACCCACTAATATCAGACATTAGATATCCATATATCTTTAGTTATATCCTTAGTGGCTAGAAAGAATACACCATGCTGTGGTCAGTACTTGGGAACTGGGAACTGTGAGTGAACAAGAAATGAGGTCCCAGAGCAAGTAGAGCAGAACCCACTTCTGCCAGGAGGGTCCAAGTGGAAGTTGTGAAACAAACAGCTTGGGCCCTACCCCAAAAATGAAGGATTCCTCCTTTTTTGGCCCCTCTGGCAATGAGCACAGTCTGAGGGAATCCTGTCCGCACATTTGCAAAAGAAAAAGTGAGGGCTGATGTCCTTCCTTGCCCCTGCCACACAGCTCTTCTCAGTGTCTCCATCATGCACACATAATTGTTCTCAAGCACCAGGACGGTTGGGCCTGGGGCACAGATGAGGATGTGGTCCAGTGCACCCATCTTCATGGCTCCTGCTCCCACTTGCTCTGCAGCTCCTGGACCTCTCTCAGAGACCCCCTCAGTGACATCTGGGTAGCCAGGGCACTCTCATGTTTGTCCTGAAAAGACTGGCTGCTCCAAATCAGTGCAAGAGCTGGAGCTGGGGACGCCATACCCTGAGCCCTCAGGTCCTGTCAGTCATGTCTGTGCCACCAGCACTTGCTAAGAGTCAGGCCTCTCCGGGCCCACAGGCAATACTGCCTACTTAACAACATCCTTGAGGCCTCCAGACTCCTTCCCTACTCCCCCCTTGGAATTCAGCCAGACCAATGAACAGAAAGGTGGACACACAGAAGGACATTGCTAAGCCTGATCCTGACCAACATGGCTCTCAGCGTCTACTGGGCTTGCATTCATGGATGCACAAAAAGGTGCCCCGATACACACACACCCTGGACCTCTTTTCCATTTCAGATTCTCCTCCCATGTCTCCAGATCCACAAAGGACCTATCTTGCATGAAGGTACCTCAGGACCCTGCCCGCAGGGACAGACAGGCACACCCCACCACCATCCTGCTCTGCAAGTCACAGAGCAGCCAGGCTGCTCTTGTGCCCAAGGAGCACAAGATGTTCATGGAGGAAGCCTATAATGCAGGTGATCACCAGCCCTGGGACTCTGGCAGGGTGGAGATGGCGTGGTCAGGTTCCAGCAGACCCTATCAGGTGCCTCCACTCAAAAAAGTCCTGGGGATGAGGACCAGAAGGAATCCACACTGGTGGGATCTTGGGGATGTCAAGGACCTTGTGGACATAGCGAGGCTTTCAGCAGAGCCCTACACACCCTCCTTGGTCTCTTCATGCCTCCTGAGGCACCATCCAAAGCCCAAAAATTCCCTCCCTCCCTCACACTTCACCTTCCACTTTCTTCCCACACCTCTTCCCACCTTAGGACCTCAACCTTGGCCTGGTCCTCTCACAGGAATGCTTATCTCCTCATTCAAAGGATGACTTGCCTTCATCCTTCTAGGCAAAGTTAAATTGCCACCTCCTCTGAGTAGCCAGTCCTAAATGTCCCTCCCTCTTTGTTGGAATGTTTTGCCCCTCCCCTCGCTGTGTGCCCAGGGCCTTTTATACAACTACAGGACAAAAGTCCACTGATAGTGGGTAGGGCTCCCATGGGTTGGAGGCTCCTTCAGAACTGAGCTGGGCCCTGACTCTTCTTTGAGCCCTCACTCACAGACCTATGACGACACAGAGGGAACATCATTGAATGTTGAATGACTAGATAGAAGGTGAAGGGGTGAAGGGAAGAATAGATAGAGGGACAGAGGGATGGATGGCTAATTTGAGTGGATGTGTGATGGATGGATGAATAAACTTATGAATGGATGGGTGGATGGACAAGTAGATAAATTTATGAGCAGATGGGTGACAGATGGATGGATGGATACATTTATTAATGCATGGATTGATGGGTGAATGTAAGGATGGACAGACAGGTGGATGGGTAGATGAATTGATGGACAAATAGACATATGAATGAATGTGTGGGTGGATGGACAGATGGATCGATGGATAGGTAGATGATAGATGATTGGATAAATGGATGCATGAAAAAGTGGTTGAATCAATGAATGGATGGAAATATGCATGGGTATATAAGGGTGTGAAATCTTCATGCATTCCTGCTTCTTTTTTAAAAAAAAAAAAGATTTTATTTATTTGACAGAGAGAGACACAGCGAGAGAGGGAACACAAGCAGGGGTAGTGGGAGAGGAAGAAGCAGGCTTCTCCCTGAGCAGGGAGCCAGATGCAGGGCTCGATCCCAGGACCTTGGGATCATGACCTAAGCCAAAGGCAGCAGCTTAACCAACTGAGCCACCCAGTCACCCTGCATTCCTGCTTCTTATCCTATCTCAAACTCCAGGAGGACTGTTTGAATAGTCAGGAGGCCCAGGAATTCCCAATGTGTTCAGTTCTTCAGTCCTCATTTTCAGATCATTGTTTCCCATTCCTGGCCCTACCCCCTTCTCTATCCACTTATTCCTGATGGCACAATGTAACCTTCCCATATCACATCAACCCTCACACTTTTTCCATCTTCTTTAGCTATTTGCTTCAAGATGCTCCGAGACCTGAATAGTTCAGACCCCCTCCACCTGAAGTACATCATCAAGAAGATCAAGAACATGGCTTATGGGGCCCCCAACCTGGTGCTGGAAACCATCCATGACTACTTTGTAGACAACCCTGAGGTGGGAGTTGCTTGGGCCATTGGAGGGACTGCATGGGGAGCAAAGGGGAGGGCCAGACCACAAGTCCAGTTCAAATCCTGGCTCTTTGGTACAACTAAATGATTTGGGGCAAGTTGATCTCCTCGTATGTCCAATAGGCTGAGTGGGGAGGGAGGAAGTTGGACCAACATGTGTGACCACCCTTAGAATAGTCCCATGATATAGATATTATGATCCCCATAGATAAGAAAACAGGCTTAGGAAAGGGAAGTGATCTGCCTAAAGTCACAGAACGATTAAGTGGCAGAGGTGGATGGGTGGGTGGATGGATGGATGGATGGACGGACAGACAGATGGATAGATGGTTGGATGGGTGGATAGTTGGGTGGATGGATGGATGGATGGATGGATGGATGGATGGATGGATGGTTGGATGATGGATGGATAGTTGGATGGGTGGATATATGGGTGGATGGATAGTTGGATGGGTGGATGGATGGATGGATGGATAGTTGAATAGATGGATGGATGGGTGGATAGATGGGTGGATGGGTGGATAGATGGGTGGATGGATGGATGGATGGATGGATGGATGGATGGATGGATGGATGTTTGGATAGGTTGGTAGATGGACAGATGGATAATTAGCAGGAAGATCTGATTAAGTTTTAATGAATGGGTGAATAAATGAATGAATAAATGAATGAATGGGAGCGCCTGGGTGGCTCAGTTGGTTAAGCGCCTGCCTTTGGCTCAGGTCGTGATCCCAGAGTCCTGGGATCAAGCCCTGCATCAGGTTTTCCTCTCAACCAGGGAACCTGCTTCTCTCTCTCCCCCTCTGTGATCTCTCTCACTTTCGCTCACTCTATAAAATCTTTTTTAAAAAATAAATGAATGAACTGACTGTAGAGGCAGAATGCTTTTAAAATCCCATAACAGGGGCGCCTGGGTGGCTCAGTCGTTAAGCATCTGCCTTTGGCTCAGGTCATGATCCCAGGGTCCTGGGATCGAGCCCCGCATCTGGCTCCCTGCTCCGCGAGAAGCCTGCTTCACCCTCTCCCACTCCCCCTGCTTGTGTTCCTGCTCTAGCTGTCTCTCTCTGTCAAATAAATAAAATCTTTAAAAAAAATTTTTTAATAATAATAATAATTAAATAAATAAAATCCCATAGCAGTTTCGGAGGATAGAGACGAACTTTGATTCATCTGTCTCTGTAGAACCTAGTTCAAGGACTGCACATAGTGCATGTTCACTAAATGGTTATTGGACAAATGGCCAAGTGCCTCCATTTGTCCTCTCCCTCTCCCTCTGGCCTCCTCAGCCTCCCCACGCCTAGGCTTTCACTGGTGGCCATTCCCCATGTGACCAAACCCAACGTGCCTCTGAACCTCTGCCCACTCTGCCACCCACAGATCTCCTCCCGCCACAGGTTCCGGCTGTTCCACATCCTGGAGGCCGTCATTGAAGCCAGCGACTCCCTGGAGGAGGTCTGGGAGAAGTCGTTCATGCAGCTGGCCCTGGAGAACATGACCAAGTCCACGGTGTGCCTCCCATCCCAGCAAATAGGCCACTTCTGGGAACACAGGCTGCTGCCCCCAGCATCCAAATAATGGTGGGGGTGCCCAGCCCTGTGGTTGACCAAGTGATCTCTGTCCTTTTCATTTTCTTACCACCAGCCCCTTCAGAGGGACAACCTCACGTGCCCATTTTACAGTTGAGAAAGGTGAGATTCAGAGAGCTCATTGCTTATCTGAGTCTACAGGGCCCATAAGTGGAAGCGCCGAATGTCAGCAGTAGTTTGGCGCCCTTTCCTGGAAGTCTCTGCCCTGCCCCCCCCCCCCCCACCACCACCACCTGTTTTACCATTCCCACGGCGGCTGCCCACACCCAGCCTCTGAAGCCCTCCTACGAGTCCCACCCATTCTCCAGGCTTAACTCCGCCTCTGCGGCCGCCTCCTGGGTCCCGCCTGCTGGAGACCACACCACTCCTACCCACCCACCTCAGGATGTGGTCCCCGGACCTTCCCCAGGACTGCCAAAGGCCTTGGGGACTTCGGCTCCAGGGCCTGGAGGGCTGGTAGCTCTTATTTAGGCAGACTAGCCCAGGGTTGCCCCATGGTGGACGTGACTTGTCATCACAGGGCTGAGCCTTGGCACTCCATGAAGTGGGAATCCATATATATGACCCCCATTTACAGACAGAGGGGCCGAGGCTCTGGCCATCTAAGAGGCTTGCCTGCAGCAGTTAACCAGCTGGTAAATGGCCAACGTGACCAGTCTCCGTGCTCCCCACAAAGAAGTCTGTAGACCCTTCCAGTGTGGATATCAGAGAAAAACAGGAACAAAGTTCATAACCAGTGTATTTGTGTTCTAAAATTCTGTACCTTTTCTTAAATTTAAGTCATCGTGTAAAGCATGCCAGGCATATTTTTAAAATGCAAGGCACCTACAAATAGTCGACAGACCAGTGGTAAGAGAGAGGGGCAGTGGTGACCCAGGCTGTTGAGGGCTACAAGACAAGCAGAGCCCACCAGCGTCTGGGTGGTGGCCTGGTTCAGCCTCCCTGCAGGGGGACAAGAGCCCCTCCGAGGCAGGGCACCTCCTGCTTCCGCACATGCCACCGCCCACCACCAGCTCTCCAGCGTGGGCCGGTGCGAGCACTTCTGTAGGTACCACGAGCTGGTCCAGGACTCACAGGGGAGAACAGGCACGTCATCATCCAGGTCCCAGCCAGCCGAGCGCGTCTGCTGTCATCTTGGTGTCCAAAGCCCAATCTGGGACCCCATAGCCCATCCCAGCTGGGGACGGCGTCTCGGAGACCCCAGGCCTTCCTCTTTTCTGGCTCGCTCTCTTGCTTTGGAGACACACACCCTCTGGCAGCTTCTTGAAAACGTGTGTTTGGGAAGTACAGCTTGAGACCAGGCATTTCTGGAAATCTGTCTGTTCTGGTTCACCCTGGACTTTGTGTTGGAGACCGTGGACAGAAACATCTGAAATGAAGTCAGGACGGTCAGGGTGGTGCCGAGGGCCACCAGGGAGGTGGGTCTCATGCACATCCACGCCTGGATGAGTGTGAACTTCAAGCCGAGCTGACCGCAAACGGCCACATCGTGTTGCGTTTCCCAGAATGAAGCTTATTTCCCTGAACACCGACCTAGCAACCAGCATAGTGACCTATCCTGTGTAGACCTCTTTCTCCTCCCCAACGCCAAGCACATTTCCGTTACCTGATGAATCTGTGTCTCCCCGATTGGGATCAAAGATCCCAAATAAACTTTTGGTTTGCTTTGCAGCTCAGTACTTTCCCATTCGACAAGATCATTGTCATGTTGGCAATAGCATCCGTGGTCTCCCCGCTGCCCCTGGTGCCGCCATAGAGACTCCAAAGCCATTCTGGACATTAGACCTTTGTCAGCCCGCACCTTCCTGCTGACAGGCGTGCAGCATCTTCCCTGAGTCTGCACGCTCTGCAGCTCCCCAAGGGCGCCTCGCTCTGGGTCTGTCCCAGCCGCCATGCCTTCCCGCCCTGCCTCCTGCAGTCTGGCTGCTTGGGCCCTTTGCTTCTGGAACATTCCTCACTTAATCCACTGATGGTCTCACCTCCTGGGTTTCTCTGCCCAAGGCTTCAGGGACGTCTGACACGCCATGGCGGGCTGCTCGGTGGTCCCCAATATTCTCATCTGGTCTCTCCTCGAGCAGCTCCCCGCCCTCTGTTCTGCTCTCTGAAGACTCTTTGTCTCCCAGACTTCCTATTGCGTTTCCGGCTCTGCTCCTTGTGCCTTCGACTCTCTTGCAATCTTGATTTTGTCCCCAGAATGTTCCTTTTCGCATCATGCTGTTTATAGCTTTTGTGGATGCAATACCTCCTCTTATCTCTCAGGATGTTAAAGACACAGCTTCGCTTGAAGTTTTCATTTCTGTTTGGCCTGTATTTCCTCCAAGGAGCTGTTTTCTGGGTTTTGTTGGGTGTGTGGTGGTGGTTTTCGTCTCCCACACCCGAGGCTTCTCCAGCGTGGCTGCCTGCCCATGGTTAGTGCTGATAGGGAGCTCTGAACACACGGGCAGGTGGTGGGATTCGGGGTCCACTGTAGAGCACCAGTGAGCCCACCGCTGCCCAGCACCTTTGCTGACCTCCATGACTTTTGTCCTGGGCTGCCCAGATTTCCCAGAAAAGACCCTAACACAGTGTCTGGCCGGAGGGAAAGGCCCCCGACAGCACTGTGGAGGACCTGGCCTCCCACCACAGACCCATGCCTGCCCCCTCCGGAGACCGAGCCTCTGGACTTTGCTGGACCCTGCAGGTGTGCGGAGTGGGCAGAGCCTCGGGCACCTGACTCCCTCTTAAACCATCGCACCCTCCCCAGTCCCGCTCGCTGCAGAGGTCTGGGAGACGCGCCCTCCGCGAGTCCCCCCAGCAGTGGCAGAGACCCTGCCGCATGGGCTCGTGCTCAGCCCCGTTACCTCTCACTCATCGGCTCTCCAGCTGCCAGAACGTGGATACTATTGTCCTTTTCAAATCATCTCCTAAATGTCGTTGAGTGAGGTGTTGTTTTGAAAGAGCAAAATTGGCTTCAACCCACCACCTTAATGAGAAGCCCTCGTATGGAAACTTGGAGTAAATTATAAACGACAGAATGACTTCATATGAGGATTCCAACAACATCACAGGGCGTTCAGGGAGGGACTGTAGACCCCCTCGCTTTCAGATGCCCCCAAACACGGGCCGGACCCCTGGCCTCCGCCCGGCGATGACCCTATAACATCTCCCTCACACCAGCAGCCACAGAAATCACCTGTGGCTCCTACCAAGAACCGGAGAAAAGAGGAACCTGAAACTAGAGCAGGTGTGGCCACACGGGGCCGGGCTCCGCTGTGCCCGCGGCCACCGCTTCACCAGACCGTGGTGGGCGGGCCTCTGCCCCCAGCAGCCGACACCCCACCTCCTCGGGACACAGAAGCATAGACTGGGGCTCGGAATTCACGGTGCGAAAGAGGCCGTGACATTGTTCCGAGCCGCCAGGAGCTCAGGCAAAGAGGCGACGTTGACAGGAGCCTTCAGGCCACATCTCCTGAGTGTGGCCCCCGGGGGGCGGGCTTTAAAACGGGACGAGCAGCGGATAGACAGGTGGGCCTGAGCAGCGCAGGAAGCACAGTGGGTTTCCGGAACGGTAGGAGGACCAGGGATGTTGAGAGTCACAGGAAGCTCTAAGGCCTGGGGTGGAGCCCGCACTTCACCTGCCCCGTGTGTACTGGGCTATCTTGGCCTCAGTTTCCTAACCAAAAACTGGGTTGACAACAGCTGCCCTGCCCACCAAGCCCGACGCTGTGTGTGAAATGCCAAAGCTTTGTCCAGGTGCCCACTCTTCCTTCGCGCCTCCCGCCCTCCAGGAGATGGAAGAGGTGTACCAGGACGCGGCCAGCAACGTGCTGCTGGCCATCTGCAGGCACTCGTGGCGGGCGGTGGCCCAGCACCTGGAGACCGAGGTCCTGACGGGCGTCTTCCCGCACCGCAGCCTCCTCTACGTGATGGGCATCCTGACCTCTAACGGTATGTCCTGCCCTAGGGGCCTGAGGCACCCCCAGCCTCGCCGTGGTCACCCTCTGCCCGCCGGCTCCCCAGGGCAGCGGCGGGGCACATCATAGGGAAAGAGGCAGAAGGGGGCTCGGAGAGACTGTTGACCTGGGGGACGAATGCAGAGCCAGGCATCAGGGACACAGCAGTGAAGCATGTCCGTGCCAGGGGCAACGGGCTGTGGTCCGAGCCTCCCCATAGCCCCCCACCCGGGCCACATCAGGACCCCCACGAAAGGAGACCTCTGGCCCGCCCGCTGTGCTGCTGGTCCCCACTGGCCCATGCTCCCGCGGGGAGCATTTCCACAGCGGCCCGGACAGAAGCAGGACAGAGCAAGGAGGCTCTGGAGGTGGCCCGGGATGGGTGTGAGGCCCACGCACTGCCGCACAGGCCTGTCCCTTGGTCACTGAGGCAGGCGGGCGCTCCTCCTCACTAGCAGACAAGGAAGCCAAGCTCTGAGAAGCAGTGTGAGGGGCCCAGAGCCACCTGGGAGCACGTCACAGGCCTGTGGCATCTACGTCCCAGTGTTTCCACAGCAGCACCGCCCCTGAGCCACGGGAAGGCCACCCTGGACAGTGGGGTCTCCGAGGACCCTGAGGGAGGCGTCTTGCCAGGGAGAGTGTTTAGCTGATGCAAAACAACCAACTCTGGCTGAGCACCTGCCCTGTGCCGGGCTCGCTGCCCTCAGGAGCTCACGGCCTCACGAGGGAAGCAGACGCCAGCTTTCATTCAGGCACCGTTCATTCACAAGTGTGAGCTGAGCACACTGCTGCCCCCAGCAGGTGCTGGGCCACTCCGGTGGCCATCAGGGAGGGCTTCCTGAAGGAGGCAGCCAAGCCTGAGCCATGCCTTGAGGCATGTGTAGGAGTTTGAGGAGGGAATGGTGTGTGTACCCTCAGGGCCTCAGCGGGAGGTTGGGGCGGTGGGAGGAAATGGATGTAGCGGCCAGCCATCTACAGGGGGGCCCGGTCCGGCGGGAGAAGCCTCAGAGGCTGAGCTTGGGAGTTTGGGCTCTGAGGCTGGGAGGAGGTAGGCCCCAGCTTAACTCGGCTTCGTACATCCTGCCCGGGACTGGCAAGCTGGGTAGAGGTCCCTCTGTGCCCAGGTCAGCTCTGAGACCCCCAGGGCCATCCCCAAAGCAGCCCTCCCTCTGAGGTTGAGTTTCTAAAGTTCCATAAAAGCTTTCCGTTCTCACAACACACCCCTCTCCGAGCCTCATTTCCCCACCCTCAAGGGGATTCTAGCACATTCCAAATGGCCCCCTCCATTCACTGTCAGAAAGCCTGAGGCCCCGAGAGGCAACATGGCCCACCTGAGGTCACACAGGAGGGGCGGCCAGGCCACAGCTGGCAGCCCAGCTATCCAGACCCCGAGCCCAAGCCCAGCTCACCGCCCTCACGAAGCCAGGAAAAACAGAGGCAGGACTCACCCAGACTCAGCTCAGTGCCCAAGGGCTGGCGGAGAAGGAGCCTGAGATCCAGCCCTGGTGTGGACGTCAGACCTGGCCTCCAGCGACACCCTTCTGTCCCACAGAGGCAATCTTCAACCAGGGAGAGAAGGCATGCTGGGAAGAGCAGCTGGCCCAGGTAGGGACGAGCCCAGCCACTGCGGCCTCCTGCGGGGATGATGGGGGCAACGGGGGAGCCGGGCACCTGCTCGCCCTGGGAGGTGGGGGTGGGGGAGGGGAAGGAGAGAGAAGCCCCACGGGTGCAGATGAGCAAACAGGCTTGGAAGGGAAAGGACTCATGGGGCTGGTCCCTGGGGGAGTTGGGAGTTGAATCTTGGTCTCTAGATGCCTGGTGCAGAGCAGGTGTCCAGCCAGACAAGGCCCTTCCTTCCCATGCTGGGTGCTGGATTCACAACCGAGGGGCCAGAGAGCATGCAGAGACCACATCTGAGACCAGGGAGGGAGGAAGCAGGCCGGAGGGGACGGTGCCGCCACAGCCAAGGAGTGGTGTCGTGCAGACCCCCCTCTGACCACGCACCCATGTGAGGGGCTCCTTTGGCTGGGAGAAGAGACATGGGCCCCCTGGCAGACCCAGGTTCGAGTCCAGATTCAACCAACCACAGCTGTATGACCTGGGTGGCCTACTTTGCCTCTCTGTTCCATAGTTTCCTGGTCTGTCCACTGGGGATAAAAATACCTTGCTCAAATGTTTGTTGTGAGGACTACAGGACGTAATCCACACAAAGTGCTTGTCACTGTGCGCGGTACACGAGAGGCCCTTGTTAAATGCTGGTTAATATTTTCAGTTACTAATAATAGTGGCAGCAGGACCACTGTAACAAGTGGCATCTGGTAGAAATAATACCAGGGCGGCAGAAATACGGGTAATTAATAGAAAAATAAGACAAAAAATCACTAAGGATAGAGAAGTCTTGAACAACATAATTAACCAAATTGATCTAATCGACATTTCTTTCAAATGTAAATAGAACATTCACCAAGACAGGTCGTTTGCTGGGCCGTAATCAAGTTTCAGCAAATTTAAAAAGATTGAAATCAAACAGAGTACATTGTCTGACCAGAATGTAAATCAGAGATCAATAGCAAAAATGTATCTGGAAAAACTCCAAATATTTGGAAATTAGACACTACACTTCTAAATAACCCATGGGTCAAAGAAGAAGTCGCAAGAGAAAGTAGAAAATACTTTGAACTGAACCATCATGAAAACACAGCTTATGAGAATTTGTGGGGTTCAACAGAAAACAACCTTAGGAGGAAATTTATGTTTTTTAATGCCTATATTAGAAAAGAAAGGTATAGGGGCGCCTGGGTGGCTCAGTTGGTTAAGCGACTGCCTTCGGCTCGGGTCGTGATCCTGGAGTCCCGGGATCGAGCCCCACATCGGGCTCCCTGCTCGGCAGGGAGTCTGCTTCTCCCTCTGCCCTCTTCCCTCTCGTGCTCTCTGTCTCTCATTCTCTCTCTCTCAAATAAATAAATAAAATCTTTTTAAAAAAATAAAAAAATAATAATAATAAAAAAAGAAAGGTATAAAATCTATTATCTAAAAAGCTATCCAAAAAGGTACAAATTAAACCCAAAGTAAGTAAGAAGGAAGGAAATAATAAAACCTAGCGTACAAATCAAAGAAATTTTTTAAAGCGACAAAAAAACAGTGAATAAACCCAACAGTAAGTTATTCAAAAAGTTTGATAAAATGATAAGCTCTTTGACAGCCTGACCAAAAAAATTAAAAACACAAAATGCCCCTCTCAGAACAGAAGGAATATCGCAACACATCTGTTAAGCATGGGACGGTAATAATAAAATATGATTCCAATAAATTAAGCAGTTTAGATTGAATAGACAAAGTCCCTGAAAAACACAAACTACCAAACTATCACAAGAAGAAACAGAAAATCTGAGCAGTCTTGTATCAGAGAAATTTGAATCATAATTATAAACCTTCTCACAAAGAAAACTCCAGGCCCAGATACTTCACAGGTTAATTCCATCACATAGTTAAGGAATAAATACTATCAATTCTCTACGAATTCTCTCAGAAAAATAGGAGAAGGAACACGTCCCAAATCACGTTATGAGGCCAGCACAACCCTGATATCAAAGCCAGACTAAGGCATTATGGAAAACTACAGACCAACACCCTTCATGACCTTAAGTCAAAATTCCTTAATAAAATATCCGCAAAAGGAATCCAGCCAAATACAAAAAAAGATAATACACCATGATGAAGGGGGGTTTACCCCAGGGACATGAGGTCAGTTTAACTTGTGAACAGTAAGTGCCATTCAATACGTTCAGAGAATAAAGTACGGAAATTATCGCCATCTCAATGAGGGGAAAGCATTTGACAACAGGCAACATCTACTTGTGATTCGATGTGTGTTTTCCCACCAAGCGATTCTCCAGTTCTCAGTGGACCCTGACAGGGTGTCATCTCAACTCTGACATGACCTGGAGACGGCATCAGACCCACAGGTGGAGGGCTCCGTCCCACGAGACGCCCCCACTTCAGATGCCAACCGCAAGCCGATCTTGTGACCTATGCTTCTGACCAACCAGCTCCAGACAGGAGGTTCCCACGCCCCCTGCCATGGGTTTGATTCATCTGCCAGAGCAGCTCACAGAACTCAGAGAACATTTCACTCACTGGATCACTGGTTTAATGTAAGAGGATCTAACGCCGGACCAGCCAGCAACGCACAGGGTCCGGTGTGGGGAAGGGCACGGAGCCTCCGTGTCTCTCCAGGTGAGCCATCCTCCCCACATCGGCACCAACATGGAAGCTCCTGGACCCCAGTCCTGTTGCGTGTTTATGGAGTCTTTGTTACTAGGCATGACTGAGGAAATTGTTGGGCATTGGTAATGAGATCAATATGCAGCCCCGCTCTCCTCCCTGGAGGTTGGGGGTGGGACCAAAAGTTCCAACCGTCTAATCATGGTCGGCTCCCCGGCCACCAGCCCCCGTCTTGTGGTTACCTACGTAGGGGCTCTCCAAAAGTGACCACATCTGCATAAACTCAGGTGTGGTTACAAGAGGCTTGAATGAAAACAGAAGACACCTTTATCTTTCTTATCACTTAGGAAATCCCAAAGGTTTTAGGGGCTCTGCCAGAAATGGGATGAAGAGCAAATATATATCTCTTGTTATAAACCACAATATCATAATGATCATGGCCCTCAAAGTAGGAGTAGGAGGACACTGACATCTCTGGAGAACCTATATACCTAAAGATGACCAACTGAGCACATTCCTACTGAAAATCAGAACCACTCCCCACACTCCTTGTCCACATTGCACCGCAGTTCCTAACCAGTGTAAGAAGGTCAGAAAAGGCAGGGAAAGACATACGGCTTGCCACAGAAAAAGTAAAACTAACTTTCTTTGCAGACAATGTGGTTGCATATACAGAAAACCTTACAGAAGCTTAACAAACACTACAGCTGTTCATTGCAAGTAGAAATTAGCAAGATCTCAAAATATGAGATCAATATGTAGAAGACTACTGAATGTTTAGACTAGCAACAAACAATTGGAAAATAAAGTTTAAAAAAACAGTGACATAGCGACATTAAAAACATAAAAGATGCAAAGACACATTTAACAAAATATCTGCAAGATGCTCACAAAACAGTGTAGAAAGCAATTAAAGAAAGCCTACACAAGTAGAGATGTGGGATGTTCATGGATAAGAAGACTCAGCAACGGTAAGATGCCACTTCTCCCAAAATCGATTGATAGATTCAGCGTAATGCCTATCAAACTACAAAATTTTCATTTAATGAAAATTTTAAATAAAAATTAAAATTTTACATGGAAATTTCACAGGACCTAGAATAGCCAAAACAATCTTGAAAAAAAAGGAGAAAGTTGCAAGAATTACAGCACCTGATTGCAAGATCTACCATTGTTTAAAAAAAAAAATTGGGTAAACGTAAAGCTCAATTGGCTTTATTCAGTGATTTCGTGAATCGGGCTGCATCGCATCTGGTGCCTAGAAGGGGACTGCAAAGGTCTGCTCACGTGGGAGAATTTATAGGTGGCAGAGGCAGGGACCAGGAAGGAGCAGGGTACGTCACCTTTCCTTGGGGGCCGGCAGGGGTCTACCAGGCGTCTACCTCGCCCCTGCTAACCAGGACATCCCAGAGGGACCGCAGGTCACAGGCCTGGGGGAAGCGGACGCTGCAGCCAGGTGAGGTGCTGTGCCTTGTTTTGGTGATATGGACTTAGCACAGGTGGCTCCGTGTGGGACCTCTTGTGTCTCTCTTTTAACAGCAGCCCCCTTTGGGTGAGACTCGCAGCTTAATGAGAGAAGTGGTCAGAAGCCAAGGCATTCGAGCCACCCCCACCATCGCTGTGAGGTTCCCGCCACCTCTGTCCACCCTGTGTGACACTCACAGGTTGTGGGGTGTTTGCTAAATCTCTCTGATAGCCACAGGCCAGGACTTCAAGTTCACAGCCTTCACGTTGGTCGCCATCTCTGTCTTCGTTTCTTTCCTGGTGTTCCAGTCTTGGGGAGGTCGTTGGCTTGGTGAGCACACCAGGGTTGTTGCTGTGATGACTACGAGCAGGGGAATCCCAAGTGGTCAAGGCTCACGTGATCTCCCCGTGCAGCGGGTGCTGCATCCCTGGAGATGGTGGGAGGTACACCCTAAGGGGGAAACACGTATTCCAACAGTTTCTTTGTCACTGTGAGGGCATGGGCCCTGCAGCAGGGAAAGGCTTCAACCCATCCAGAAAACAGCATCCAGTAGCAAGGACGTGTGGATAACCCATGCCACGTGGTGGTGGACAAGGTCCAGCCGCAGGTGCTCAAAGCATCCGGAAGGAGACCTCCGGGAACAAAATTAGTTCCCCTGGGATTATGGACCCAACAGGTCAGAAGCTGATGGTAGACCGTTCTTGAAATTTTGTAGAAGTTCTCCCTCCGATGTGTATTCGTATTTTGAGTCATCTTAAATGCACCGTGGTGGATTAAGGAATGTAAAAAACCCCCAAAATGGGGTTTGCCAGGGAGCCAGGAAGGACCAGGAGGCCCTCTTGGGTTGCCCACGGCCCCAACTGTTCGCCGAGTTTGCAAACCATCATTCGCCCGCCATGGTGTCTTGGGTTCAAAA